AGTATATGTTCAGTTAATTGTCAGCCTCTTACATGTGTGCTCCTCATAAACAATTAGCAGATATGCTTATAAACAGCCTTTTAATTAACAGAGTAGAATAATCATGGCTGATAGTAAGGCATGTACACGTAAAAGAAAACCAAACTGGACGCAAGAACGTACTCGGTTACTAACGTAACCTCGGTTCCCTGATATACGGGAACGAGTACTGCGTCTTGCTTAAGACTCTTTGGGAAAAACAATTTTTTTCTCTGAACACTGAAGCCTTTTTCAATCATGCAGTGTAACTGCATGGCCATTGGTTCGTGCAGTGACTTATTAAAAATGAATCAATGTCTCGACAGCGGAGCTGCACGAGCCTATTGCGACACAGCCCACCAGAGCCTGCAAATATGGACGGGGCATCTGGCTATATAAGTGTGCACTTCGCAATAGGATCTCAGGTTACTTCGACTGAAGCGATGACAGAGCTACGAGCTGTCGTGCAGCTACATAGCATGGCCAGCAACGCAGTACTCGTTCCCATATCTCAGGGAACCAAGGTACTTCACTCGTACTGCGTCTTGCTTAAGATACTTTGGGGAACCAGTACAATCCCGCCGTGCTATGTTAGAGGAGCGACCAATGCTTGAACTTGCCTTGAGCACCAAGGGCCCCGAGGGACCAAGTAATTCTAGGGAAGCCCCACAGGAAGCGATAGGCCCAAACTCACAGAGGTCGGCCCGGCGCTAAGTAATCGTTCCAAGAAAAATCGTACAGCCTCGGAACCCAGTGGGGGCCAAGAGCGTACAGAGAAGTCAAATGCCTGATTTAGCACTGGTTTTGCCAGAGTAAGTACATTTAAGCAGAAAGCGCCGAGCCTGTAAAGCCAGGACATCCAGATTATAAAACCTGGTAATGTGAACGGCGAGGCCCAGCCGGCCACCGCACAAATTTCTACAATGGAAACTCTGCTAGACCAAGCCCAGGAGGAGGCAATGCCTCTTGTTGAGTGGGCTCTTACTCCGATGGGGCATTGAAGGCCCAAAGAAGAGTACGCTATCTTGATAGCGTCAATTATCCATTTGAAAAGTCTCTGCTTCGTGACTGGAGACCTTCTGGTGCGGTCACCGAAGCATACCAAAAGCTGATACGACAGCCTGAATGGGGGCAGAACACTCAATGTATATTCTCAATATACTGCTAAC